TAAATAGCGAATTAGTTTGAGATGTCGTTCAAATTCTGAACAGCCCATCAGAGGTTTAGGACAACAAGATGCTCTCTTCCTCCTGCTCTCTGCATCAAGACTTTACTACTCTACCCAAGTGGAAGGTCACTCAGAGGGTCAGGCACCAGAGGGGCATAAGAACTGGATAGATGACAGATTCTTCACCAAAATCTTCCTCCAAAAACACAAGGGGAATAAACAACTGCAGCAGTTGGAGACATAGGGCAAGAAAAAGAAATACTGAAGAAGCTGTTGCTTGGATTTACACATTGTTTTTTTTTTTGTGTGTGTGCTGAGATGCACCCAAGTGAGATGTGTCTTTGGCAGTTTACAAACATCAAGTGAAGCAAGAAGGCTGCAGAGCAGAGACAATCCCAAACCCTGCTCTTGTTGCTGCCTTTTTTTTCCTTTCTGTGCTACAGAAGGTAATAAGAGTCATGGATGCAGATGTGAAAACAGAGACAGTTTGATCTTTCATCACTTGGTTGAGCAACTGATGCAAGATGAAGTATTTACCAGCAGCACCTGTAGCAATAGCCCTGCATGTTGTAATGCTGGCACACCTTGCAGGATTTGGCCCATAACACTCCTGCAAGTGAAAAGTCCTCTGTGTTGTGCATTGCTGAAAGAGGTCATTATGCTACAGCATAAATATTTACCTATAGTCCTTCCTACAGCTGTTCACCAACAATTTCTCCCTTCAGAGAATGTCCAGACTTCTGGAAGGAGGGATACTGTTTATTATTGCAGAAGGAGACGGTCATGGAGGTCCTCCAGCACTTCCATGTTAGAATACTTTGTTTTCTGAGTTATTTATAAGTCAGGAAAATCTCACCCATTTGGGCTAAGATTTCCCAGGGAAGGCCTGACAGCTGGAGTGTGTGATGGCTCCATGTGTGCAACCTCACAGTTTCTCCAAGCTGGCCACAGCGCGATAGAGGCTTCAGTTACACCACCACCTGCTATTTTTTTTCCTGCAGAACATGCCTCCATTCAGCACACAAGGTGGACAGTTTTCAAATAAGCAGCAGCTATTCAACACTTTGTTTCTTCCTCCTTGGCCTTAGGTTTCATTTTAGAGCACACTGGCAAGGAATTTTTTAATTCTGCAGTAAAGAAACTGCTGGTTTCAACCAAGCATAAATGAAATTATGTTGCTTTTCACACCTGTAGGATATAAATCAGCTCTTCTGAATTGATCCAGCCACAGAAAAACCTCTTAAAAATTAGATAGTCATGGGAATCGTTGTACATATAATTTTATAGAAGGTACAGAACATTTGTTTTGATGAGCTACACATAATTCTCCAAAATAAGGAACCATTGTACTTAATAACTGCAATGTGATTTAATACTGATTAAAGTTACTCTTCCAGCATTTGTAAGTCTGTCTGCAGTGTAATTGGCATCCCAAATCTTGTGGTGAGCCACAAAAACTATTAAGGATAGCTAAGAGAGGAAATTGTAGTTTTGCCTTATACTGGTAATCTGCTTTTACTGGCTTACATTTCATGCAGGGGTGTATTAGAGCAGGATTCCTTGGATCTTTGGGATCCAGGCCCTGCAGCCTGAAAAGATGGGGAAATAAGCAGGGTAGAAACCAATTGCTACCATATGGGTTGGCAAAACCTATGTCTGAGAAGGAAGATCAAAAACATAAAATAAGAGAAGACTCCTTTCCAACAGAGCAGTAGGAAGATGCTAAATTAGGAAGAAGAGGCTTTAGTAAGTGTTATGAAGGAGGAATAGTCTTTTATGGTGAGATTTAAGAGTTTTAGACACAACTCAGAGCCACAGCTCATATTTTATGTGGTCTTGGCCTAATCACCTGGTCTCTCTTTGTCCTAGTTACCACCTGTAAAATCACTGTAATCCATCTCATCCGCACTTGCAGGCTGAGAAGTTCTCCAGCCAGGCAACGCGTAGGCACATCTACCAGACGTGTAGAGGCAGACCTAAGTCTGCTCTGCTCGTGCACTCAGCTGGCTGGATGCAAGTAAGATCTGTCCTGAAAGCCTCAAAGCAACATCCAAACAGGCTCATACCCAAATTATCACATCTCACAGAGTCCGACCACGGAACTCACCTCGTGTCTGCCCGCCCTCAACAACGTTGGGGGATCCACTGCCCTCTTTACTCTTTTGTAAAATGTCACAGGTTTTTGTTGGTTTTCTGTACCATGATGGAATACAGAGATCAATAAGAGTTAAGATTAGTAAGAGTCACACAGCACTGAATGCAGGCAGAGAGGCTGTACATAGTACTGAGGTGACAATCTCTTACTTGCCCGTGGTGTGGCATACAGCATAACTCCAAAACCTTTCAATAAGCTACTGTATATTTTCTAGATACTATTGATCAAATTTCCAGAATGTTTTCATGTCAATATGAATGTTATTTTTTCAAGTCCCAATGTTTAATGAATCATTTAATGCTATTCTAGATTTAATGTCTTAGCCACCTTGCCCATGTCTGCCACCTGTGTGGTTTTACAAGTTTGGTGTTAGCAGTAAAGCTGGAATAACAGGGTTTTTTCTCCTTTGAAGGAGTGGGAGAATAGAGAGGCCATATGGTTCAAAAAGCCACTCCGCCTAATGAAGTTTGTGCTTTCTAAAGCACAAACAGAAAAGCTCCATCAATTTGATCTTCATTGTCAAAACTGACATGCAGTTGGTCTTAAAACACTGCCTCCTTCTCAAAAATCAACAAGGGATTGATTTTCTCTCAACCAAGAGCATTTTTGCCAAGATGAACACGAGCATCTGGTCAGTGCATTAAATGTCTGGGTCCTTTGAAAGAATAAGTCAGTGATACCTTCTTGTGTTTACTCGCAGAGCTTGACAAGAAAGTCACAAGGGGAACATCTGTTTTCAGGGGAAACTCTTCTAGTGAAAAGCAATTGGTTTGAAATACCACATGAACACAACAGTGTCACTGGAGATGAGGGATGTAAGTAATCCATCAAAAATGGTCTGAGCAAGAAGAAAGCACAATGGTACACTGTGAGACAAGGAAGGAAGGTGCAGAAGAGTCTAGGAAGTACTGGTTTTTACAACAAGGATGCATGGAGATGAACGGTACCTCAGCCCATATGTCTGCCACACATTTAGGTTAAAGTTATCCTTTTCTTGGCACTTGGTGATCAATATTTGTTTGCATAGGGCTCAATCTCACATCCACAGAGGCCAGTGGGAGTTTGCCATTTCCTTCCATAGCTGCCCGAGGAGGCTCTAAATAACTAGTGTTTGTGCCCAGGGTTTTTCAGTGCCAAATATAAAGAACACTATTGTTCTTAACACAATTGAATTTGATAGTCCCATTTCCCCGAGCGACTGAATTGGAGTTTTTGTCTCAATCTTTCCTGAATTCTAGTCCAACTTTTACCCTGTGCCTCCTGGCTTTTCCCTTTCATTTGCTTCGGTTGTGCTACCAGGAATAAGGCAGAGCCTTCTTTGACTCACAGATGCCTTGATGCCTCTTTGCCTTGGAATAATGGGATCTGGCTTGACCCCTGAGCTTCACAGAAGATACAGCATGACACAGAAGATCAAAGATTTTGGCAACATCCACATACTGCAAAAGCACAAGCTGGACAGGCTCCTATAGCATTCCTTTCTCACCACCAAACAGTCTGGAAAGCATGTCCAAAAGGAGTCTGTATAGACATGACTCTGTATGACTATTTCCACTTCACCATTTTTGTTCGGTGTAGTGTAAAGAAATGGGTGAATGTGGCTAAGAAAAAGGTGAACAAGGAAAACCAAATCCCCAAACTATGTAAACAATAAGACGACTTTTGCAGCTCTGTCCCACTGATGCTGCAGGGGTCATATCGCCAGAGGGTTTCCCTCACCTAAGCATCTCATTCCAGATAAGATATTTACATTCTGGTTTCTATCCTATATTGGCTGTGCAGCAAAGTGCATTCTCCAAGAATCACCCCGCTATCGGGTGATAATCCTTCACCAAGCAGCACCAAGTGTTTGCTACATGCTCTGAGTCCACAGCAGCCCTACTACTGCAGAGGTGAAGAAGAAGAAATAGAACAAAACCAGGCCAAGTGTCAATCAGTAGGCAGCTGCAAACTGCCCCAAACTCTGTCCTCATTCCCCCTGCCTCAGAGAAACAGGACTTTGTAAACAAGATACTTGGGGTGCTGACCAGGCATTTTGCTCCCTAAGCATCCTCTAGCATTCTGATTTTCACCCGGCTCTTTCCCTTCTCATAGACAAGGATCGATGAACATATTTCTGTGGCAGCTGCAGCAGAGGAATCTCTGATTACCCTGAGAAGAGTCTTTGGGGGTCTTCAGGAATGCTCAGCCCAGTAAGTGAGCCCAGCAAGTGACCCCAAAATCTCACCACTGGGCCAAGCAAGCCCTTTGAAGATGGTCAAAAGCATTGCCAGTGAACCCGTGGTCACCAAGACAGTACTTGAAGCTTTTTTAATCCTGCCTCCCTCAAGAGTATTTCTCAGGAGCTGAGCATCCCTGGGTTACATGCCAGCTCTGAGCTTTGTTTCAACCCAAATATTATTATTCCTGAAGACACCATGCTTTGCGAAAGCTCAGCACATGGATCTCCCCGCTGTGCATTTTTAAACGGGTGCCTCAACATTTGTTTTGAGAACTATCCTGTTCCAACAGCAAACATAAAGATCAGTGTGACCTCTCCTTATCGCACAGCCTTTCCTGTGTGGAATTCATTGTGATCTGGACCCCAGTGACTATTGCATCACTTCTGCTTATTTGTAACCTTTGGCACTGCACAATCTTATCTGCCTGCAGCCGGCTGCAGCAGAAGATGTGCAGCAGCACAGCCAGCTCTGGCAATCCTCAAACACTGGAAAGGGCCAGTTGAGAGCGGAGGTCAGTAAATGATTAGCAGAGCAAATCTGCAATGACTGACAGCTACGCAGACATCAGGTCTCTCCCTCACCCCATGGCAGGTGAGGCCCGGCTCTTCTCCAGCCCTACTCACCAATGACGATGAGGGTGTAGTTCACGTTGGTGCTGCCGAAGCCGTTGGTGGCTTTGCAGATGTAGGTTCCCGCATCTTCGCTCTCCACCTCCTTGATTTTCAGCCCTTGCTGAAGGATCCGGAACCTTGTCCAGCCGCTGTGGATAGTCCGTCCATCCTTCATCCACATGGTGAGGGGTGGGGGGTCGCCCTCCACCGGGCACAGGAGCTTGATGGTCCTCCCCAGCCTCACAGACTGGCGGTGAATCACTTTATCGGCAATCCTTGGGGGGCCTAAGAAAGAACAGAGAGAGGAAGAGCTGTCATGACTTTTGCCAGTGATACAGAACTGATTCAAAGCCCAGTCATCAGTCAGGCCACTGACTGCTATACAGAGATATAGTAAGAGGTGCTAACCAAAAATCACTTACAACCAAGGCTGAAAATGCAGGCAATTACAGAGGGATACAACAACAGGGATACTGGTTTGTGCAAGACCCGAAGCTGTAGCCTTGCCATCAGCAGCAGCTCAAGCTAACCCACCAATGAAGCCTGGTTCTGAGGCTCTTTTGCTTTTCCAAAATTTTCAGCATTTTCCTATCACAAGGAGTCCAATACACAAACTGTTCCGCTGTACTTGGTAAAGAAACTGTAGTTGTTTCAAACTTAACACCTATCCTGAAGGCAAAATTAGTAACAGGACTGGTACTTAAAACAAAACACTGCCCCCTCCTCAAATGTTATAATCCTTTCATGTTGTATGTACAGTAATTCCCTTTAATAGTAACCAGATGGGCTCTATCTGAGACTCATAAGCCTGTAGTTGTTGGACACAGAGCATTCACTGGGTAGTGCTTCACTCAAAGATCCAGTTTAGCCTGACATGTTATATGCTTATAGGCCAAAAGAGGATATTTTTATAAATGGCCTTTGCAACCCCACTGGTTTGACCTGCCTGGCAAATATTTGCTCTTTGTAAAAGGTGATAATTTCATGCAAAGCAGAGTGTCCCTGGAATGCCACAGAGTCGAACACACTGTTTGCCACATGATAACAGGATGCACTTGGACAGGCCAACACTCAGAAAACAGAAGTGATAAAGATTCCAACAGTGGGAATGAATTTCAGAATTTCTTCCTAAGGCTCTGAAAAGTGGAAACAGAGTCTTTTTCCTGCATCTGCCTTTTCTGCCTTTTTATTAATTGCACAAGTTCCCCACATAGACTGCAATAGCAATGCTCTTCCCAGAATAGTCTATTAATGGGTGTGATAATAATTGCCCTGTTCTTGCATAAGGACAAAATGTTTTGCTAAGGATTGCTGATACTGAGTTGCACCCAAAACCCACAAGATGTTTGTGGGATTTGGAACTGTTCCCTTATATTTTACTCCTGCTCCTAGTGTTTTGCAGGATTGGACCCACAGGGGATAAGCTACAGAGCTCGTATTTGCACTTCCTCATGACTAATTCCTACTATTCCAAAGTCTGCCTGATTTTTCCCCAGCATGACTAAGGCAGTACATACAGTCCAGCTCATGAATGACTACAGAGCTGCTGTCGCAGTTACTCATGTTGAATTGCACTCATGAATTTCACAGCTTTGCTGGTGAGCAGAGATGCTGCTCAAGCTGAGAAAAGAGCTGTGAACTAGACCGAAACTCATTAATGAGTTTAACTAAGAGTCTGCTTAAATCAATAGGTCTTATAAACATACAGATTCTGATGAACTTCTGATGACTCAAAGCAGGGATCTTGAGAGCACCTTTCCTGAAAAAGTCAGTCCCTGGCAAAGGTAACACCCACCCCTGCACACCTTCTGCACCCGCTGTGGGACAGCATCTGAGCCAGTGGTGTCTTCCCAGACTCCAAGGGAACTGGCAAAACAAATATAAGAAATCCTGCCTTTCCAGGTCTTTCTAAGCACTCCAAACCACACTGCTAATGTTCTTCACCTTGGAAGACCTCCAACCAACTCTGTGGTTGGAGAGATAATCCCAAGATCCTTCGAATGATGGTCTGACACAAGTCACGCTGCTGAATCTTTTCAAGTGGAAATTCACCCATCAGGAGGGGCTGTGTGTGTTTGCTTTGATAAAGCAGAATTCACCCAAAATGAGCCCGAAACTCAGCTACACTTCCCTACAGGGTGCAGTGTCTCAGTGCACAGGAGCTGAAATGTCCACAGGCTTGCTGAAATTCTGGGTCGGCCCTGGGAGAGGTCCTTTCTGACCCAGAGCCCTACCAAGCCAAGTCAGATTATAAGAGTAGCTTCACTGCAATCTGCTTGTGAGCCAGGATACTACTCCATGCATATTCAAATGACAAAAACAGATCTATAATTAGTGCTGGGGAAAAATGTTTGGTGCAGGGCAAGCAGGGACAGTGAGAAACAGCACCCTCCTCCTAGCTTGGAAACCTGCTGTAGCTCCTTCAAAATCCCTTTCCTTCCGACATTCAGGTTGACTCCTGATGAATTTTGAGACCTGGAGGAATCAGATAGTTTCCCAGTCACGTCATGTGCTTCTCCGGGTCAGGCTGCACGAGCAGCGCTCCTGATGGCACCAGAGTTGCCTCTGGATCTGTCACATGTTTGGGTCAGCAGTAAGCTTGGTCCTCCTAAATGCCATTTTCCTTTGATTGACCTTTCGTTCTGAGGAATTGCTGGATCACTCTCTGTCACAGGATCTATTCACAGACCTTTATGACATTTAGAAAAGGGTGTGTTTCTTAGAGCCTTTCTGCCTGAAAAGAAAAACACTGGTGCAGCCCTTCATTAGCTCCTTCAGTAACTTCCTTGGGAAGAGGAATAAAAGCCTCCCCCCACTTTTCTTCCTGCTGTGAATCTTGCAAGATACAGCATGCACTTCTCAGTAGGGTACAGTCCTAGGACAAAGATGCTAAAGCCTTGCTTCTGTTCATTTAGTGCTGTAAATACTCCCATTTTATTACCTATCATCTTTGCATTAATAACTTTCTGCTCAAGCAGTATTCTCTGAAATCAGCACCTTCACATATGCCAGAGGCTTCAAAGGCCCTGGCAAGCCAGTGGTAGCTGGACCTCCTAAAGCTGGGCTATAGCAAGAATAAAATGATATCATCACAGATCTCTGTCTCTCTTTCTCATGTACAGGCATTCACTGGGTCTTATTTCACTACATATCTGCAGAGCTCTGTCTCAGGACTGCAGCAGTGACAAATGAATGCTCTTCCAGTCAAGACACACTGGCACATCCTGCCACTTTGTGCTGTCAGTATTTGTAGGGGAGGCAGGGGAAAGGGGCAAGTGTGTTTTGCAGAAAGGCCCTTCTCCAGTATCCCCTGGGCAGCGGGTGCTGCTGACACAGAGCTGCCTCACACGAGGTACCACAGAAATCCCACACCATCCAGGCAACAACATCTTCCCCCTCTGAATCCATACACTGAGCCACCCAGCACCACTCGGGTTCTCCTGGGGGTTAATGTCCAGGGTTTCTCTATGCCAGACCCATCTTTTGCTATATGAACAGAGCAAAGAAGGTGTAGTAAAAACATGCTGAGCCCTCGATTTCCCACGTGCAGCACTGGCACTGAGGGAGCTCCTCACCTTCCAGAACTGGTCGATAGTATACCAGGGGGTGGTCAGGAGAGCAGAGTGCACAGCCAGCTCTCTCAGGGCACTGATTTGGGAGTGTTGCTGGTGTCTGATCCTGCAGCATTAGGGCACGTGTGTGCTCACAGCTGAGCGTGATGGTGCAGGAGCAGAGCCCAGGGCACAGCCCGCGGCCCCACAGGCTGGATACATTTCTACAGCTGCTTAGAGAGGCAAAATCCCAGGAAAGCACCTGCTGCTTCACCTACAGCTGCCAGTGAGGTAAAAACAGACTGAACCCTGGCTGCTGCTGACTTCCCATCCCTCGCTGCTGCCGGCATCCGTCCTGGGCTCTAACGCAGCAGGCAGATGAAATTACTCCTCGAGCAGCCACTGTTATGACCTCTGCTGTCCTAGACTCCAGCTTTGTGTTGTGTGAGAGCAGAATAGATCTAATGTAGAGAGAAATACCCTCTGGCTGCTCCGTACAGCACTGCCCTTGCCTTGTTTGTGGGCAGGGCAACACCACAAGAACCGGAGAGCAACAGGCATCGTTCTGAAACCTGAAAACATTTTGTTAAATCATTGTTAAAACTGTATTTACCAATGCAAAATTAATGCTAATATATACCATCTCTCTGGCTGGGAGAGGATCCTGTGAACTGGTCTGTGCTTGCAGCTGTGGACCAAAGCTCCAGATTGGGTTCTTTCAAGACAGAGAAGGAGAGAGCAGTGCTCTCTGGTCCTGGGTGTAAATCCTGGGGAAGGAGTCCCTATGTCACGCTCCCCCTCCTTTCTTAAGCATTAGGCAGCAATTCCTGAAAACATCAGCCTTTTTAAGTGCTGAGATTCTGCAATCTGTGATGCTCTTGGACACAGAAATTACTTCTTCCAGTATTTTTCCGTGGGATGTGGGAGAAGGGGACAAAAACAAGGCTCTAGGTAGATATTCCATCCAAATTACTGACACATACATTTTCATAGTCAGGGAGGGAGGGGGAATGGCAAGGAGGGAGAACAATCATCATTTCTTGCTTCCACTCTTGCAGTTTTTCCCCGGGCAAAGGCAGCTAGCTCTCTGTAGCCACAGGGCACTGCTTTTAAGCCCCACCATGGAGGAGAGGGCACGGCTGGCTCCACAGCCTGTGCGAACAGAAGGAGCTCTTACAGTAAGTTAAGCCCCACCTCAACACAAGCCCAGTGGGGGCAGGTTTTCTTCAGTCCCCCTTTTCCTCAACCCAACAGTTTGAGGGAATCATTCCTTAATACTTTGGCTGAGGGGGAAGGGTGGGGTTTGACATCCGCGGATGTGACTTGGGAAGAAGTGACGAGAATGCAGCTGCCTCCCCCCTGTGCTTGGTTGTTATTCTTTCTCCAAACACAAACTAAATATAACTTTGCCCCATAACATTCAAATCATTTTAGTTACTAGAAGGGATCATGCCTGGAGTTCCAAGGGGCAGGGTGCAATCAGGCTTAAAATACAACTTAAACAACCCAGAACCAACATTTTCCACCAAGTTATTTTCTTGCTTGTAGTTTCCCCATCTGCAAATACATATAAACACACCCAGAAAGAAACCAACAAGCCCAGCCAGATGCCAAGTTTTCTGCTCAAGATCATATAAACTCAGTCAAACATTAACAAGGAAATGCCATGATCACCTCATTTGTTTTAAATATTTCTGCTCATATACATGGAGACAAGTGTGCAGATTTATTTGC